GAGTTTCAGGCGAATCTATCGGCAAAAAGTCGAGGTTGCCAATTGTTGACCATTTTGAACTTTAATTGGCGGCCATTTTGAAAAATTAGGGTTCGTTTAAAAATCTAACGTTGAATTCGTTATTTTCGGGTCAAAATACCCCCAGATACCGAATTTCAGGTGAATCCATTGGCAAAAAAATCGAGTTTGTCAAATTTTCGACCACTTTGAGCCTAAACCGGTCGCCATTTTGAAAAATTAGGGTTTTTTTGAAAATCTAACGTCAAATTCGTTTTTCTCGTGCCAAAATACCCCCATATACCGAGTTTCAAGCGAATCCATTTGCAAATAGCAGAGGTGCCAATTTTCGGCCATTTGGAACTTTGACCGGCCGCCATTTTGAAACGGTTTGAGATAATGACTTCCGGTTTGCACGGAAAAGTTCCTTTTTTTATGCTCTTTCGAACGAGGTATCACAAAGGGGGTCTTCCCATTTGAAAATTGAAAGTTAGGGTCCGTAACCCCCCCAAAATGGGACCCCCTAAAATTTTGGGGGGGTCAAAAAGTAGCTCCCTTTGATCTAGGAACACCCTCCAAGTTTCAAATCTCTACCTCAATTAGGTCAAAAGTTAGAGGGGGGGGAGGGGACTTTTCGAACACCCTGTACGTAAAATGTAACTCATACGCATAAGATATATCTTCTAGGTGTATTTTGAATTGCTGAGTCCGAAAATGGCTTCGACTCTTTGCTATCACCCTCCAGTTACCTAGAAATACTCGTATTCCCGGAAAAATAAGCTAATGTAACTTATTTTTCATGGATGCAGTTTTTATTTTATAAATTTTCCTGGACCGGTGAAAAATATTGTTTTAAATTTATGGGTGCAAAATAAAAAAATGACCTTCTTTTTTTCCCCTTGCCCTCTATTTTTCGGGAAAAGTCGATTTGTGTCTTAATACACCGTCATGGTTGGCTTGAACAGTTCAAAATACAGAAATGTGAGAGGGCTAAGACTAACGCTCACCCTCAATGCCTTTGCAGGATCACCTTCATTACCTTTTCCACGAAACTGTATCACTACATACCTACAGAAGAATAATGCTTTCACAGGTCCAGAGAAATGTATTAAAAAAATGGCATGAATGACAAAAATACTTCTAGTCGTGCAACCCGATTCTGTGGTCAGAAATCATCCTCATTTCTGTAACGGGATTTTCTTTGTAACCGCATAGTGGAAGTAAAAGGGTGGATGAATCATGGCAAGGATTGCGTTTCCCTGGGAGGAGACAAAAAGAACGCCCAGTGGATGCGTGAAGATAGGGGGTCTTAGAGAAAATGAGGGAGTGCAATCTGTTTGAAGGACTTTGGGAGGGTAGGAGAATTTGCAATATGCGGTTTGAGAAAAAAATTGGGAAATTAGGAAGCAGCATTCCTAGGGATCGGTGTCAGTCCAAAAGGACTGCAATTTCAGTTTTACATGTATATTCCATGTGCAATATCCGAAAAATGGCGCAAATCTAGGGAAACGCGGATTTTTATCGACTTTTACCGATGATATGTGGCAACGTCGCGCCGCGGTGGGAGGCTCTATTGATAAATACATGTACATAATCACTAGTAATGCGATCATAATGAATGAAAATTCAAGGTTAGCTGAACTTTGCTTAATGAGCTCGGTGAGATACAGCCTCCGAATACTGAAATAGATACTCGGTTTTTTGTGTTTTCAGGCGATAAAATATGGCAACATCAGCTTTTTTTGGGAGGCTTTGAATCCAAAAACTTTTTAAGAAGAAGGATTTGACCACCTCGTTGTTGGCCACCACATTGTTGGCCAAAGGAGTTACATTCTGGTGTAAGATAAGTCGCCCTTTATAAACCATTTCAAAAACTGATGAAAAACAGGAAAATTCTAAAAAAAAAATTTTAAACAATGAGCGCAAAGTTTAATATCGACGAAAATTGGCCAAAGTGACCCTCTTACACCTCTAATGGACAAATTTGAAGAACTTTTTGCTCCTCAGATGGGATCATTGTAAAACAGCGCGTCAAATGCAGCAACAGTCGAGCACTGGTTTGACTACAAAATGCTAAAATTGCTGATTTAGGCATTTTGAGAGCTAAGAATGAGGGATTTCTGATCCTTGTGGGTCCCAAATGTTATTTTTCTCTTAAAATATAGTATCAGCAGTCTCATTATCCGCATTTGCGACTTTCTAGCTTGATTGCATTTACCGGAAAAAAATCTGCAAAATAGCTAAGATCGCCAAGATGAGAAATCGGTAAAACCACTTAAGTGCCTTGCGGGAGTTGCGGGACCATTTAACCTTTAGCTACGACCCTGAGATTTGTTTGTGATTTTTTTCTAACCATGAGACAAGTTTTTGGCAAGTATCTCTGTTGAATTTCGCAATTTTTTTTTAAGGTCCAAAATGGGACACCCTAGAGTCCCTTTATACTGAGAGTCAAGACAATTTGAATCCATTTCTGATTGGTTCCCGTATTTTAGGCCTTCACAGTGTCACAAACGGGAATAAAGATTACAGTTTCACCGATTGCAAAGATTATAATCTGGAATGGACCGGGGAATTACGGGTTCGGCAAGGAACAAACGGAATGAGGGAAGGAACGAAGAAAGGAATTCGAGAATGGGCCGATCAAAGATTACGAAAAACGTTCAATCTCTGTAATCTTTATTCCCGTTTGTGACTCCATGAAGGGTGTTGTCTTGACTCTCAGTATAAAGGGACTCTAGGACACCCTAATGCTCTCCTACACATCGAGGAGGAACATACATGGAAATTGAACTTAGTTTGACCGGGTTGTGGGTTATATTGGTATCTGCCGCCATTTTACCCTAAAGATGAAAAAACCCGAAAAGAAAAAAAAACCGGCCCCACTTACGATTTTCCGGTTTTCACTATTTCAATCTAGAGACCTTCCCTAACGCTTTCATGAAAAAAAATCGCGGGTGATCTTCAGAAAAAGCGGTAAAAGGGGAGGGATACCACCGATCCCTGAGGCACTCCCGCACAAACTGCTTTAAATTACGAGATATCATACTCGAAACGCAACCTAAAAAATCTATCAGTCAGAAACGAGGCGATAGACCTAGTGTGGTTTCCAGGAAGCACCCTTGCAATGTTTTTTCTACTAACTGTTGGTGATGGACTTGATCAGTAGCCTGGGCGACATCCAAGAAAAATCCCTAACAGAAATGAGGATGATTTCTGACCGCAGAATCAGGTTGCGCGACTAGAAGTACACAATAAGCGATACCTTACACAGCGTCATTCTAACAGGTTTTTTTTTTCTGGAAAGGTCATTTTGACCGCCATATGGGATTCAAGCATTTTCCAGATCTTGAGGATGATTTCTGACTGGATAATAGGGTTGCACGACAGGAAATACACACAAATCGACACCTTACACGGCATTTTTCAGGCAAATGAGGCCCGATGCATCATGAAAGGTCAACCAAAGTACGGGATAACACAACGAGATAACACGCCGGAAGTTCTCCGCCAGTCCCCTTCCCTCCTCTTGGAAGCTAATTCTGAGCTGCATCTTGTTTGAAATTTCATGATGCCGTCGGCCTCATTTGCTTAAAGAAGCCTCCAAAATAAGGTACATGCATTGATTTGATGAGAATCAGTAAAGCACGTTTTGCTGCCCGAGTTCGGTGCCCCTACCTCTTCTTTGGGGCTGATTCCGACCTGCATTGTGGTCGATTATTCAGGATCTAGTCGGCTTCATTTGCATGAAAATGTCTCCAAAACATGGTAAAAACATGGATTTGATGCGACATACTATTTTCCGTTTTACTGTCCGAGTTCAGTTTGTGTCAACCGCCCTCCAACCTCAAGACAGCATGGTTTAGTTTTTGGAGCCGAATACCCTGCAGTATGTTCAAGCGAACCAATGATTATATGTACCCTATTTCGGAGGCTTTTATAAGCGAATGAGACCGACTGCACCTTGCAATTTTAAACAAGATGCAGCTCAGAATTAGCCCCTAAGAGGAAGGAAGGGGACTGGCGGAGCGGGGATGCCACCGAACTTGAACAGTAAAACGGGTGTGAGTGAGTCGTACCACACCGATACACACACGATGTTTTGAATCCTGCATTGTGTTATCCCATACTTTGGTTGACCTTCCATGATGCATCGGGCCTCATTTGCCTGAAAATGTCTCCAAAACATGGTACAAACATCGGTTTGATGCCACTCGCCACACCCAGTCTAGCTGTCCCGAGTTTGGTTGGCGTTGTCAACCCCCCCCCCCCCCCNCCAACACCAAGACAGCATGGCTCAGTTTTTGGAAATGAATACTCTGCAGTACATTCAGGCAATGATAATTGCTCAACCAATCATTTGAAAATTGGAAAGGCGACCACTGAACCCATGATGTCAGAATTACGAATTAAACAATAAATTGACAACTTTCACACCCCCAAAAAGGGAGTAAACCTTCAATAGGGAAAAGCGCCCATTGACACTTTTGATCAGTGGGTTAAAGCATGCATCATATCAAATCTACAGCCAATTTAACCGGGACCACTGTTCCCAAAAGGATAGACCATCATCCTTTAAAAAAAAAAAACAAGGCAAGGCAACACAAGAAGATCAGCGACAAAATCTGAGACTTGTAACCCGTAGCTTATTCTCATCAGCTTTGGTTAGAAGTCTTGGTCAGTTGTAAATTCTACCTTTCAAAATTTCATTGCTTAAATTTACAATACTTACAATGGAAGTAAATTCTTTACTTTCTAGGGAGGAAACTAACAATATTTTTGAAGGATAATTGTTGAAAGTAGGTGAAAATAACTCGAAGATGTGCATGCTTCATGCTTGGTGTTTATACAAAAGAAGAGTTTACAACACCATTTGTGGTCAATAACCAAAGCATGAGGTAGATTCAAATGTTTATTGTCTTCCACGAAGTAGCTTGAATCAAGGGAGAGGCTGATAGGTGCCATTGGAGCCATGATAATTTTTTGGTTAAAAAGGAGCCACTTACAGATATTTCTCTGCATGCTGACATTGATAAACTGGTACCTTCCATTCGTTTTAAAGCATAGTCTTTTCCATCAGAGCTGTAAAACACAAGTGATTTTTTTTTAAAAATTAAAGAGCTCAATTTGCATAAATAAGGTTGCCAAATGCACAAAATTGGAATGGGTCTATTGTACGCAAGAGATACAGCCAACAAAATAAACTGTCGTGATGTAAAATTGCTCGAAAATCACGTTGATCACATAAAAAGTAAAAAATTCACTCCTTAGCGCACAATCTACGTATGTTGTAAAATCCTTTCACAAATTTACGTTGTAAGCAGGCAGTTTTTCTTGGTGGTCGGCAGTCAGGTTTCAACAGAGAGAGACTTTACCTAAATAAACATACGATCTCGCGAACTGTTATTAACGCTCCTTGAGTATGATTGTGATTGATTCAAAGCTTTTGTTTTTGCAAAATGAAGAAAGAGTAAGGAAACACGCTTGAAATCATATATAATAGAAAAAGTTAGTGAAACCTTTTTTTACTCATACTAGTTTTTTCTAGAGTACCTGTATAATGAGAGTATAGACAGAAGTGAAACTCCGAAAATCCATCAGGCCTTCACCGATGCCTTCGCGAATAAAGTTAGGGCCCAGAAATGCAGCCAACCTATGAATTTCAATTATCCAGAGCGATTTATTAATACAATTGTTACGAAATATCGTTTATAAAGCACGTATTTGACTTGGTTTTTGCATAAATTTACTCATTTTTGTGGAAGAACGCTCATTTATGTACTTTCTTAGCCATCTTCGTTAGAATTGGAATCTACAGACTGGCAGTGAAATTTTGCGCGTTAGAAGTTAATTAGAAGGGTGGCTGCACTTTTGGGCCCTAAGCCCTCCATGAAGCGATCTGTCCATACTCTCGCTATACAGGTACTCTAGTTTTTTCACTCCTCTACCTGTGCCAGCCTGGTCGGCAATGACTGAGAAAAACTGCCCGCAGACGCACGAAACTTGAAATAGCAAGTTATACCTAAACTACGCAGATCGAGCGCTAAGGAGTTGATTTCAGACTTCTTGTTAATTTCGAGCAACTTCACTCATTGAAAGTGTTCTCAGTCGACTGTATCTTATGCTCACAACAGAACCTTTCACTGAGTTCAAATTTTGCTGTCATTAAAACAGTGACTAAAAGTAGAGTACCTTTATAAGGTACTCTAATTAGAAGTGCAATGACGGGATCGATCAATTTTTTTTCTTTTAACCGATACTACTTGTTGAGAAAAAATTGACCAGGTGAGCCCATGAGCAACTCAGACTGCAAATAATGCAACTAGGAAACAGAAGACATATGTTGGTCATAAGTCGTCCATTGGTTGGGCCTGGTATTGGAAACAGAAATCGCATCTGCAGGGGCTATCATAGTTGGGAGAAATAATCGTCAATTGGATGAGACTGATAATCTACCTTCATGAATCAGAAGTGAATTGCCAGTATTTTAAACTTCTTCAACCATCTCAGGATTTTTTTGGTAAAGCAGCCCATTCCCAAAAAATCTTGAGATGGCTGAGAAAGTTAAAATAATAGTAGGTATCAATAGACAGCCAAAAAAGGAAACTTACTCTCAGCTAGAAGTGAATTGCTTATCACCTCAAAAGTCTACTGCAACACAGAAAATTTAATCACTATGTTTTGCAGACAAGCTGCATTTTACAGAAGAGTGTTAAATAAGATTTCCTCACGTGCAGACAAAATTGAGAGTTTGGCTTGTAAAATGAAATCAATGGTTTTCCTAATATCATCAATCAGCAGATTCTGGAGAAAAGACAAGGAGAGAGGGGAGTCTTCCAAGGTTTTGACTGCTATCATTATATGGGGCAAGACCAATCTACATAGGTCAGTCATTCCCGAGGATGAGTTTTCTACTGCGCAGTGACGCAGTATTGAGTGCCTGCAAAGTATTTCTTATGGGAGCACCCATTGTGAGGCAGCATTGAGTGCCGCTGAGTTAGGGCCAGGCGGGGGAGCGGATCTCAAAAAGATGCGCAATGACTGACCTGTGTGGATTGGTCTTGATATGGAGCATAGTTTGCTGAGTGAGGCAAGTGAGTAATTACTGTTTTTAACCGAATACCTCAAGCAAAAGGAATGAATGGTAAAGTCGGGTCGTGATGGAAGTGCAGACACAGGGGACATTAACAAAGGAGATTCTCTGGAAGAGCAATTTTGAGACAGTGAGGTATTAACCAAGTTCCAAATCGTATAGATTTATCAATTTGCAGCAACTCGAGAGGGTGATTTTATATGGAAGTAGATCACAAGTTCCTTTCTCTAGTCCTTGCGTAAACACAATTCATACTTATATGACAGTAAATAAATTTGAAAGCATTCTGCATTTGAAAAATAGAAGGAGATAGGTACCTACTGAACTAGAGAATCTCACGTATGTAAGGACATGAACTAAGCACACGGATACTCAATTCAAAATTTCGGTACAATTCAAACTCATAAAATTCAGCTAACTGCTGAATAAGAATTCAGATATTGAGAGGTTAATTCATTTGTAGGTCAAACAGCTAAGTCAAGAAGGGCAGATAAGAGTGTCCATGATAGGCAAAAAGGGCAACTTAAGGCAAATTGGTCTAAGGCAGAGCGAACGATGAGTTTGTATTCACTTCCAAACAAGTTTTGACTTCATCTCCAATTAACGGACTACCTTGTAACGTTGTGAGATCAGGCTGCAGACAGAGATCAATTTTCAGCAAAGATTGAAGTATGGATGACTTTCGTTAGCGATCGAAAAACTTAAAGGTGCCTCTTAATGGTACGCATAGAGAGAGACAGAGAAGAAATCAGTAATGCTTCCTGCGTCTGATAGGTTCTAACGTCAGTGAGTCTTTCGATGCAATAAGAGCAAGTATGGAGGGTTGATCATGAAACCGGTCTTGATTCCAGAGTTCCAGCTTCAACAATGTTTAGATAGAATACAAAATCTTAAAATATCAAAGTTTGTGAAGTCCTGAATGAAAGGAGAAGAAAAGATAATTGATGGCATGACAGGGAAGGATGTTTTAGGGAAAGAAGAGACAGAGGAAGAAGGGAAAACCATCAACAGGAATTAGAAAATTTGATCCGTTACAATAAAGCTTGCGAAGTTCATCACAGCAGGTCTTAGAATGAAAGCGGAAATAGGAAAATTTGTTCAATGTGAAACAATGAACTGTGCCGATTAAGTTTCTGGGTAGAGCCCATACCAGACCCAGGTTCCCATAAAAATGACTGAACTTAAGAATATAAAGAAGAAAAAAGGAGTAATTTTGTCACATAAAATTCAAAGTGGATGGCAAGGAAACTTGAAAGTTCGTAAGTCAAAAAGCTACTCTCCTCATCATTTCATCGCAATAGAACGAAGTGGAGCCGCGACGAATTTTTAACACGTATGATGAGATGATATACGAGATGAATGGTATGGTTGAAGGGTCACGTACCGGGACATGAGGAAATGAAGAGAAAACTGGTCGCTGAACCGGATGAAAAAATTACTGACGCACAGCAAACAGAAGCATGTTTAGAGGAATTGGTGAAGCATTTATAACGCGAGGGATAAAGTTTGAAGTAAAACTTACACATCTTTCCGTTTCGCTTTATACACATGACCGTACGTTCCACGGCCGATTTTACAACCCTCGTAATCAAAAAGATCCTCTACTTTTGGCCGCTCATTCGCAGTTCTCTCTTTGAATTCATGATCCATTATAATGTGCAGCAATAGAAGATAACTCATTTAAATGACCGCGACAACTATTATGAAGATAAGTTTGAGGTAAATAAGTACTTCTACAGTTCTACATGCTGCATCGGCACATAACCAAAAACCGATCCAAGAAGATGGTAGGTAGGGTTGAACGAGTAGCAAAGGTCGACATCGGCAATGGTCGATTCGTGGCGAACGGTCAGAGGTCGATTCGCGAACGGTCATACGTCGATGCCCGAACGCACCGAACCAATCGAACCTAGTTCACCATTGTGCATTATATTTTACTATTCATTTTATGGGTGCCACACACGGGAGGGATGAGGCGCCCAAAAGTGAGGCTCTGCTGCGCGCGCACGTCGCATGTTTGGATTGTAATTTCGCGGCAGATTCGAACCTAAGGGGCGAGTTCCATAATACATTCTTCTCAAATGCACAGTATTAAAGTAAAAAAAGTCCAGAGTTTTAATCACGATTACTTTAATTAAATTTAACCTCTCGTAAATCCATACGTAAAAAGGGTTTCCTTCTCCGTAAATTTTAACAGTTTTATAGTGAGTT